AAAAATAGATAAATAAGGTACTGATGTCTTGATAAATGCAGTCTATTTCGCACAAAACAAAATCGTTGAATACTACTGCAAAATAAAATCCAGACGAGAAATATGAATTTAAGAAATTTATGTTTTAGAAACAAATTCGAATTTCACCCCAAAAGCTACATGATAAATATTAAAACTGGAATAAAAGTAATTTAAATATTATAGGGATTTATTTATAAAGAGAATTGTTCGATCATTATTTATAAAATCACATTCTAATATTAAAAAAAGTGATTTGAAAGAGTAATTTTCTTTTCTTCAAGTATATAATAAATGTTTTGCACAAAACATAATATCATTTCACAAAAATAATGCCATTCAAGATATTGGATATGGAGGAACGCGAAATTATTTGGAAGAAGAGAAAGCGATCGTACGAGCCAAGAAAAGCAACGAGTCGCAAGATGGGAGGTTTGGAAATCAAGACTTGATGGATGCGACTTCGGGGGTGGATGTGGGAGTGGCAAGAGGGTGCGCGGGTAACGCGCCTTAAATCTGACTCGTGGAATTCTCTGATACGTGGCTGCGTTCCTGGCGTTCCTATACGCTCACACGTACGAAAAAACCCTCAGCAAAATATTCTTTCTCGACCAACCACCATGTAGCTCCTCAGACATGCGTGCTATCAAACTACATGCATGTCGATACACTGCTGCAATACGGTGCAGTAAACATATTTCAGCTCGATATATCAATAAGGTTTGGAAATGTCACCTTACATCGTTTTTCATACAAGAGCGTATATCGCATACTCTAAAATTATAACTTGCGCATTAAACATGTACTAAATAATTTTCATTTTTTTTTTATATAAATGCATTGTTATACTCATACATGTAATAGACTGTATACTAATACAATATGCTTGTTGTGATTACAATCAATTACTCATATGGTGTAATTAATAACTCAGTTCTCTTGGATAATCTGAATTGAAATGGAAAACATAGAAAGGAGTATTAGAAACTCGGAATAAAAAATTGCAATCTTCTTACATACGAATGTTAGACTTTTGAGGCATTCTGAGGCTGCACTAATGCTACAGCTATTCCTCGAAACTTTCGAAATAAGATGACGCCCGGAACCCAACCTGGGAGAGTAAATCGAGGCGTATGCTAAAATGAGACTATACAAAGTACCATTTCATAAATCTTACCCGGCAAAGCGTGCGTCGCGAGAAAAAGGTCGAGAAGGGAAAGAAAGCTGTTGATAGATGAGGAATACTCTTGATAAAAGAGGGACCGGCAAGGAGTGCCGCGAGACAGGGGGTCGAGCATTATTTCGGAACTGCTGCATGATATTATAAACCAGGCACCGACACATTAAAAGTTTACGTTAGCCGGTAGGTATATACGCTCTGAACGAAGCGTTTAGACCATATTGTTTCTCTTGCACAACGAATGCATGAAATATCATCTCATAAATAACTTTATCTCCCTCTACAAATTCTTTTAGGGGGAGTATAGAACCTTTTCCATTTTCATTTAAATTTTACATAAGAAACTACTATGTGCATTTAATAACAATTATAGAATTTTTATTTAATTTCTCTTACTTTTGATTAGTTATTTTGCAAGAATTTTTAATTCTGTTATTTATTAAAATATGAAAATTAATTTTTTTTTGCTTCTGTAACTGTATTATAATTTGCGACGTATTTGTATATTAAAAAAGGACAAAGAAAAATTATTTATAAGATAATATCACGGATTTGCTGTGCAAGAGAAACAATATGGTCTAAACGCTTCGTTCACAGCGTACCTACCTACTGGTTAATGTAAACTTTTAATACTCGACTGTGAAGGAATTGCTCCGCCGTCGCTCGTGTATAAGCAGCGTGCGTTGACTGGGTATTGCGAGGAGGGTAAAACAGCGGAAGAAAAAGGGATAAGGGAACAATATATATCAGGAGAAGTTGGCAGAAGGGCGAAGGCTTCTGCAAGAAAGTGGCGAGCTTCGTCAGCCCCGTTTCTTTTTTACTCCGAAGCCAAGGAGAATCCCGAATAATCCGCCTGCAAGGATTATCCCATCCCTCGTTGATGCCCCTGTTTCATATAACTTCGAATAATCGTGAACTCTCCGTCACGTCGAAATAATTCGATCTCACCTTAAAACAAATTTTTGCTTGTCTTGCCAAGACATGATTCTCCCGCACAATTTTTCATTTATAAATCGAATTTTTCGAGAGGAAACATTTAGAGAAAACGTCTTTACGATTTCATCCAATAAGTTATATATAAACTTGAGATAAACAATACATATACCTGACAAATAACGTCTTAAATTTACAAGAAGAAAAAAAATCATACCAATACACAAGTTATTATTTTTTTTTTTTTGCGATATCTCATGATATATATAGTTAAAAAAAATATGTACAATTTTAACGAGGAATATAACTGACATTGTTTTCCCAGTCGGGTATTAAAATTGCAAAATGATAAAAATATAAAACATGAATTGTGCCGTTTTTAATCCAGTCTTCTCTTTCATTATTACGTCCTGTCTCATTCGCGTTCACAGACATCAATTAGTCAACGTCGTTTTGCAGGAAGTCTCAGTGTCGCCACTGCCCGGAAGACCAGCAACCCGTCTTGACCACCGATATTCAGCGACCATCAATTAGACGCCGGAGGATAGGAGAAGAAACAGGCATTACGTATCGCGGAAAGTATACGCGCGCCTCGTATACGATAAATTTATCCGGGCGACGTTAACAAATGGCAGGGTGGTTAATGGCGGATAGACGGCACTAACGTGCGGACCGATGCCGCAATAATATACAGGCAATAATCGTGCGGCGAATGCACGGCAATAATTATGAAACGACCGTTACCAATCTGATGCAAGATCTGAAATAATCGTTGCATTAGATCGAACGAAGACGCAGAATATGGCGCGATGTTGTTTTACGGTGTGAAACGTAAATCTTTTGATTTACCTCATCCTATCTCGTGCCGTTCTCTTTCATTATTCAAGGATCAGGCGGGATTATCATGTTAAAATAAGTATAAATAGAACGGGGTGTATAAAACGCATCTTCGCGTCTTAGCAAAAGTGATTGTCGAAGAAAAATCTATAGATTATTATTAAGTCAAAAAAATGCTGTATTACATAAACTCGTATAAATTATTTGCTTCATAAATAGATACGAAGAATATAAAAGCAAGAGACGCTTATTTAAATACCTCTTTATTATTTTACAACTACAATCAGAAATATTGTCGATTAATAGACGTTGCTAAAGACGATTATAAAAAGTATACGATTAAATCGTAACAATTCTATTGAGAACTGATTAACCTCGGGCGTCACTCGACGAGTCTTGCTTAAGTTAATCGAAATCTTGACGCGGTCGATTTTTTCGTCGACCCGCTTAAGATCATCTTTCAGACGGCGAGAGAAGCAACCCTGACGCGTTCCTTCTGTCCCATTCTCATGCCGACACTCCCTTTATCGATCCAGCCTTTCCCTCACTCCTGTCCCTCTGATCTCGCTCTCATTCTTCTTCTCCCCTTTCTTTTTCTCTCTCTCTCTCTCTCTCTTTCTCACCCCACCGTCTCCCTTCAGCGCCTAGTTACCCCCGGGGAAACCCTAGAGAATCGCTTTCGTTCCCCGCTGTCCTCCTCCTTCGACGCCGACCGCTACCACCCGCGTCTACAAACTCGACCAACCAGGAAGCACGTATCTGCCCTTTCGAATTATCCGGCTGGCTTGCCGCCCTTTGTTGCACGCGGAATTTCGTTTAATTAAAATGAGACTACGGAGACTGCTTCGTCTCCGCGGCACGAAGACCTTGGATCTTAATAAGAACTTCGATCGTGAGATGTACTGTCAGAGAGAGAGAGAGAGAGAGAGTGAACATTAGGTATATTTTTGTGAGATCTTTGAAACATTTTGAATTTATACAGCGGAAAATAGGCAACGAGAGCAAACATCTTAATGGGAAATTGATGACGTAGAAGCGATGTATACATCTAATTTTGTGATAAATGAGTGTTTTGCATTTTAAATTTCTTTTATGTTTTTCTAAACGAGAATGCATAATGTCATACGCGCAAAAGATCACAGACTTTATTCACGATATTCGATATTAAATGAAATACTGATTTATTTTCAATAATGCGTCGCATAATGCAGATATGGCATACAGATATTTGTAATATTATCGTAAAAAATATATATATCTCGATTGACAATAACTGTACATAATACACAAACAGCTTAATAGGAATGCATCGCACAAACATGGCGGAATAGGAGATCGCGAGAGAAGTTTACAGATGTCGGTAGCGAATAATCAAACACATTTAACGTAAAACAAAATGCAATGCGCATCCGGAATGCAAAATTCACGAATAATTGTATGATAAACGATAAAATCAAGAGACAGATATGCAGAATTAAAAAAAGTACAGAAATAAATATCATAAAATTAAATAACAAAAAAAAAATAAGACTCCTCTCTCGACCGTACTGGCAAATATATTATTTATTAAATCACAACGTTTCGATCCTTCTTTGAGTCCTTATCAAGTGATTTGTGAAAATAAAAATCAAAATAAAAATTATAATTTTATTTTTATTTTCACAAATCACTTGATAAGGACTCAAAGAAGGGTTGAAAAGTTTATGATTTAATAAATAATTATAAAAAATAAAAATAATATTAATAAATAATTTATATTATGAATAAAAATTTTTAATTATTCTTACATCTAAATCATTTCGGCTCGTATATTTGGCCTACTTTTCATGTTTTATTAATTTTTAATAAATAATATTTGCCAGTACGGTCGAGAGAAGAGTCTTACCTTTTTTTTTAAATTCTGTCTGGCGATTCTCAAATATCTACGTTTTTTTTAAATAACAAATTTGCTAAAGCCTGCATTCACAATAGACGCGCTTAATTATTTTCGGCTACGTAACCGACACATTGAAATTATCATGCTAATTCTTACTGTTTATGATGAGAGTCTTCGTTCGGTTACACATAAATTAGCGTAGATTGCAATCTAGGAAGGCATAAAATAGTAAAATCGCGATCCACATGGGAAAAAATGCGTAGTTCGAGGCGGAGCTAAACCACTGGAAAAAGCAGTCTACATTTAATCACGTTATATCGAGATGAAGATTAATTAACACCATGTTAAACGCTCTCTTCGCTACTACAATTTCCTCTGACAGATTGTACTCGCGTGCTTCTCTCTCTCTCCCTCTCTTTCTCGCATAATGTTTTAAATTGTACTTGAATATCATAAAAATATTCTAACATTAATATAAATTATTATAATCGTATAATTATTATTATCGCATAATGTAATGAGTTACTTCATAATTAATTAACAAGAAACATATCTGGGGTATAGAATAACTGCGGATCTCAGTGAAAAAAAAATGAATGACGTAAATATAAACGACACGCCCGTTATTCACCGTTATAAAAGATGGAATATCATAAAAATATTCTAACATTAATATAAATTATTATAATCGTATAATTATTATTATCGCATAATATAATGAGTTACTTCATAATTAATTAACAAGAAACATATCTGGGGAATAAAAAATAACTACGGATCTCAGTGAAAAGATGAACGACAATAAATATAAACGACACGCCCGTTATTCACCATTATAAAAGAAATGGAAAATATCAGCATTTCCGAAAAATCTATTTCGCATCCCGCTGCGAGCCTCGCCGAAACGAATTTGAATACGAAAGAAGAGCCGCCGCAAGAACGCCGACTGCATCGTCAACGAACGAGAGAGGACCGTTACTCTCTCTCTCTCCTTGCACGATACGTACGTGCACTTTCGGTATGAAACAAAGACGAAAGAGAATCCCATCCTTCACTGTCATGGCCAGTATCATCGCAAAGATACTTTCACACTTCACCGTCGCCGCGAAAGGATCGCGCTGAACGACGACACGGAGATGGCGATTGCGGCCCTTCCGCGAGAGCGAGGCGATTGGTCCATCGACTCACGGACTCACACTGCTCACTCGTTACGTGACCGCGTCTCTCACCCTTAAGCTGATCCAATCGGTTGCGTTATTACCGGGTGCCGAGATTCGAGACGATCCCAGATCGAGCCGCGCTCGTCAAACAACAGAGAGAGCCCTGTCGTTGGAATATGTACGAAGGGCGGCAGGACAGAATAGAATAGAAGAGAAGAGAAGAGAATAGAAGAGAAGAGAAGACGAGAGAGAAGAGACAGGGAGAGAGAGGATTGCGAGGCGTCGCGGCGCTGGTCGGCACTAGACTTGGCGTCGGTTCGTTCGTTAGCTGGACCCTCTTGCTCGCCCGTATTAATTTGCTTCCTCCTCCCCTCGGCCATCCCCCCCGTTGCTCGGGAAAAGGGGGGTTCGGGTCGCCCCCGGTCTCTCTTAGCTGCCGCCGCTGCTACGAGACGCCAGAGAGACGGCGCATGCGGACTCTGCTAATCACCCTCATCGTCCTCTACGCTCCTACTAGAAGAAATCCCTTCTCCCTCGCCACGGTGATCAACGTGCGAGTGCCATCGGGAAATTAATCGACAACTCGCCACGGTATTCCTAACTACTTTGACTTTGTTTCTCGCGACCGTGACCTTCTCCGACAGACGCGCAGCACAAAGGGATCTTTAAAGGTATATCCGTCGATAGTCGAATTTCGTTTCGCAAGACTTTTTTTATGTCATTTCGCGGAAATTTATGAAAGCTGTTATAGAGTGATGAGCGATTTGTACAGAATTTTGAGTTCGTAATTATTCTTATTCTCTCTCTCTCTTTATTAAAATTAATTCAAGTCATCGTTTTCCATTAATAACGTATATTGAAACATTATTTCACTTTATCGAATAATTTATAGGATCGTGTCACCGAACGGAGGGTTCGTAACAAGACGAAACTGCTTCTGCGAAAGATGGTAATGAGGACGATAGTGAACGAGGTATTGGAAAATCGTGTGAAGGGCTGGGACAACGTAGGTAGATAGGTAACCGGTTAGTCAATGATGCAGGGTGAGAGGAGGTCAGCAATTTTTCGCCTCATTGCTCATAGAAAGGAAACGCTTTATCGTACGCCCTTTCCCTCTTCTCTCTCTCGTCAAAGCATCCACGAACTTACGAGCATTGACTGCGGGGTGGACTTAGCGTCAGCTCGTCGTGGATGTTGATCAGATAGCACTTTTCTACCGGACCAATTTTCCGGGGCTGAACTTATCGACGTTATTTCGCCCGTGGTTCGTGTGACATAAATCCTCCGTGGAGAGAAAGAGCCGACATTTCTCGCGAACAAATGATCGAAGTCACAATGTGACACTTTGGATTGTTTTTTCGAAAGACTTTTCTCTTCAAAAAAATATATAATTATTCGAATAATCATGTTTGAATTCTTAGATGTATATAAATTCTCATAAATATCAGAGAAAATCCGTATAACGTAGAGCATTTTTTACTTAATCCGTATTCCATTTTACTGTTTTAATATATACTTAATTAGATTCATTAATGATAACGTGTTTTTACGTCTCTGCGAATTTGATTTTACAGATATCGGCAGAGAGGTTCACGGTTTAAAAAATGAGGGAAAAGAAAGAAAATGAAGAAATCCTATACGAGACGACCTATCTGATTCGAACTCAAAAAAAATCTAAGGACCGAAGATACAGCATAATCGCGAGTATAAAACAACGAAACGCTTAGCAGAGTAACATCCTGGCGGGAGCGTCATTACCGTATTGATCGTGGAGGTGATTTCTCTCGCTCTTTTCCTCCTGTTGTATCCCTCTCCGCTTCCCGGGGAGGATCAGAGTCGAGGGGTGGGAGTGAATCAGGGAGGCGCGCATTATCATGGAGAGGGTTGAAAGTAGGACAACGAATTTCTCGATATGATCATTCTCAAATCAGAGTTTGAACAAGGCGGAGGAATTGCAAAAATAGGAGCAAGGAACTTTTATCGAAAACTACGTGTTAGAAATTTTTAATTAGTTATTAATAGTTTCCCCCGCAATTTGTCTAACCACTCAAAATATATCTTGAAACTTAAATATAAAATATCATGTGCGACTTAATTTTCCAGATATTTTTATTAATTAGGTTTAATTTTTATAAAATATTTTTCTCTTTGTACTAACAATATTTTCTTAAATATATTCCATCGCTCTTTCAATTTTTTTTTTTAAATATTTTAAAAGCATAAAATATTTCACAAATCAATATAGCACTCTATTCCATTCATTGCAAAAAAATTACTGAAATTATATCTCGATTTTTTTCTCTCAGGTTACAGAACTTTAAAAAGGCCATTGAACTTTAAAAAGGAATTCGGTCGTTATCGCGGACGGTTATGCGAGTTCTTGCACTGATTCGAGGAGATGACATTGACCTCGACGGTGACGTCAGGCAAAGTTCGAAGATCCTTCCTTCTCCTCTTACCATTCCTCACTGATGGTCCAGTACCCGTTGCAGGACCGGTTTGGTAAGCGTCAACCGATCGTATGGACAAAAAACAGCTGAATCACCATGACTCTGATCCTTCAACTCGAAGCTCGAGATACAGGCGACTCTACTGATATGTCGAAAATTCAAAGTTGAATATCTTTTTAAAAAATTGAACAAAAAAACGTAGGCGAAAAAAATTATTACCATCTTAAACTATATATAGCGGCAAGTAAAGATGTATTAATATCCCAGAGAAACCTTCAAACGCGGATTTACTATCAAATTATTGCGGCTATCAAATCATATTGTAGCTCCTTCAAAGCCACAGATGTAGATCATTATTTAATTTAATTAATAAATTAAAATTTATTTAATATATAAATTTATCTCAAATAACTATAATGATGAAAGTATTGAGAGAAGAAATTGAAAAACATTTTAATATGTTTCAATAGCACTATTGGCAGCGACTATATGTAATGTTATAAAATATATTATTTAATATTTTCTTTAAAACAACACATTTACAACAATTAGAGCAATTTGTGACAATTACTGGATCTGTAATAATAAATGTGCTATATGCTATAACGACCCGTGAGCGATACGACTCTTTAACACGCAATCGCAGCAGTTAAATGAAAGTCTGACAGTAAGAGATATACTCACACTCAAATATACAAATATTTGTTTCGATATAGATTGAAACAAATTGAGCTTGTTGAGTTTATTATAAATGAATAATATATATATTTGTCAACTCAATTTTTAAAAAAATATACAATAATATGCCGTTATAAAAAGTTATATACTGTGATAAAAGTTAAATGATGATGGAAATCTAGCAGTAAGAGAAATATTCACTCGAATGTACCATACAAATATTTATTTCAATACAAATTGAAACAAATTGAATTTTTGTTGGGCCACTCATAGGCCACTAAATTTTTATTCTGCTTGTACGCACATTCACACACAAGATATTGTAATCATACTGCAAAGATGCAGCTTGTTATTTATGTAATAATTATTTCCTAGAATTTAATAATAATTCATTAAAATTAACATAAATATGTCGAAGATAATTGATTATTATTTCTCTTTCTCTCTTTTTTCCTCTGTATAAATATAATAAAATATTTAATTTTTGAATAGCTGTTTTTGTCATTTAATATAAAAGAAGAATGTTTTTATAATAATTGATTATTTTACAAACGCTGAAACTAATGATTGTCATAAGAAGCCATCATTAAATAATAAATCACGGAATTAGTATTTCAAAAAAATTTATAAATTAATATATAGTCTAAATTCGTTTACTGTATAATTACTTATAATTGTTCGGTCGATTAATTCTCTCTTACGTATCCGCATGATTAGGCATATGCATGCACACACGCAGACACACATGCAAGAACTCGATTGTATTGTACGCGACACGAATGTGATTCACGTAACCTACTGCTTTACAACCCGTTTGATACAATCCTTATGCTGACATTATATCTTATCGGCGAGAAATGTAAATAAAGCACATCAAAGAGAAGTCATTTTTCTTCTCACAATCAGTTTTCTTTTGCATTAAACTTAGTTTTGTGTGCAAAGTAATGCCTATAATAAACTGAAAACTTTCTTTTACATTTTTTCCTCGTCGTTTTATAACTTACAAATATCACTTTAACGAATTAAAAATAGATTCTAATAACTTCCATTTTAATAACTGTCACTCTATTAAATTTGAAAAATAATAGAGATAAACTTTCTGTTAATTACTGTCACAAATTTTTTAATTATGCGATTTCTGTAAGCGATGTAATTATCTATTAATTGATATAATCATTCCGTAAGTCTCGACGAATTTCTTATCAAATGGATAGTCAGTATTGATAAAAAAAATTTCAATGATATATGCGACAATATAACCGAATGACTACCACAAAATGTGTACTGAGTGCTTCTAAACGTCGTGAAGTAAATGGACCCATGGGATATCATTGAATCCATGGAAAAGCATCGAAGTGGACCAGCAAGTGTCTACTTTGGAAGATTGCTTCGATATGTATGTACTTTGAACTAAGTACTCGTTCAAATGCCAATACAAAATTTTGATGATCTTTAAAATGTTCACTTACATCAATTCGCCAAAATAGTCTCTGTGTACAATAAAAAAATAAAAAGTTTTAAAAAAATTAAATTTTATATAAATTATTTTTTTTTAATATTTATATATAAATTTAAAAGTTATTTTTATAAAAAAGATTGTGTATGTAAAAAAAATTTGACATCCCATAAATTCCCCAAGCAAGTGTTTAGAAACAAAACGTTAAAAAAAGTAAGAGATAAATTTTCTAATAAATTCATTATATATTATCTCTTTTCCTAGTAACAGATAGATTTATGTTGAAAATACAACCATCTGTATTTTCTTATTGGAATGATTGTTAACGTCTCTATTCTAATAACGTGGCCAAGATATAATCATCAATGCACAAAGTACTAAAAAAATCTTATGAAAGAATATTTTGCTAATAGCATAGTTTGCTTAATGTACAGTCATAGAAAAGCATCCTTCGGTATGCCATCACGTGAACGAATGATTGAGACGTACTCCAGCAATGGACTCGTATGGTGCATACAAGGGGGCTCCTTGTTATCGAGTCTCGCGGTTGTGAGTTGCACGCTTCATAATCTTTCACGACGTAGACAAAAAGCCAGTCGCTGTTTAAGCTAGCTCGAAAAGAAACGCGCTTATATGTATATATACATATGACATTTTTCCTCATACGTCTTACTTATCGGCTTTATGCCTTCACATTCTGCACTTATGGATTGATGCATCTTGCGA